TTGTAAAAACCATGAGCTATTCTCTCTGATTGGCTTTGGTACCCCTGACCTGTCTGCATATAGACCTTCCCCTGCCACCCCACCCCCCACTTTCTTTCTCTCTCTCTCATATCCCCCGCCAGTCCTCACAGCCCTCAAACCATCCGTCATCAAGTGAATAGAGTTTATATCCCCATGTATGTGACAGAGATCTTAGCATAAAAGTCTTGTCATGCCCTGCAGTGACCTGCACACTGTAGACCCTCACAGAAGATGTCTCCATTGGCTGGTTAAAAGAAAGAGCATTGTTGACCAGCCCTCACTCGCAGGCAAGTATGACCTTCAAGACTACGGAGATGGAGTTTGCCGGAGTCTGATCACTTTGACAATTGACTCTGCCAACACTAGGCAAGTACCTTCTACCACAGAGCTCATTTCTCTGAAATCTGTTAAAAAACTACAGCAGCTATTTCAATTTGAAATCTTTTATTGGCAATCATATTGATTCCCATGTGGCTGCCTGACCCACAGACCACCTCTTGGTGTTAAAGTGTCAATTCAGTCTTGGGAGACATTCACCAAATCCAGCAAAACCCCTCCAGCAGTGTGCTCCCGAGGAAAGAGACCCACACTTCATTCCATTGTTTCCCTGGCTCTTTTAGATTTCGTCTAACATAATCACCTCTTTTTTTTTTTTCTTAAACAAAAATCTACCAAAGGCCAAATTTTTAACTTTGTTGTTTTCTGCATTCATGTTTGCTGTTCTTCAGACTTAATGGTCAAAATATATATCAGAATTTCTTGAAACTGAAAGTTTTCCCTGAATCATCAACACTCTTTCTCAGTAGTCCTTACCCTGTGCTCAGACCGACTATTAAAAATCATCTGAAAAATGCCTCCAGTTGCTTTTTAAGGACTTTTCCATTCTGCATTTCCCCCAGGGCAGCGACAGAGGCTGGCGGAGGGAGATTCGCTAGGAGTTTGCCCTGCGTTTCCTGCACAGCAGCTCACAGGGGCAGTCCTGGAGTTGGCTTCCCAGGCCCTGCGGGAAATGCCAAAGGGTGGGGGATGGGGACGATCATGGAGAGGACATTAACGAGGAGCACTCACAGATGAGCTTATTCAAGTCAGGTTTTGTGGGATCCAATTGCAAGAGATGATTTTACATGGGGATCCTACACATAATCTAAAATTGCCTGAGATTTTTAGTTAATGTAACTATAAAAACAAAAGTAAAATAAACCTACCATCAGTGGCTCTCCTCTCCCTAGGAAGCTGCATATCCAGGGGCAATTCCTGAAGTCACTCCTCCCCCGAAGGCCTGATTCACCAAACACAGACCTCTCAAAGCCTAGCTGAGTGCCCAGCCAGTGAAGCAGCCTCCGAGTGTTAGGCTCCCTTTCTAGCAATAAGCATCTGATCCTACAGATGCAAGAATTCCCTTCTTTATTTTGAAAAGACTCCTCCTTTCTTCCTGTCCTTCCTTGTTGTTGTTCAGCCATTGTCGTTTCCTTGGGAGAAGGAGGACGCAGAATAAGGTGGGGATTCCAGCTTTGGAAAAGTAATAATGTAAAGATTTGGGGGTAAGTTCTAGGTCTCATCAACTATCTCTTTGGTCTCACCCTGTTCCAGATGCTACCCACTCTTCCAGGGCCAGGTTAGATTCTACCTCTTCCAGGAAGTCTTCCAAATTACCTTCTGCAGCGCTTCAAAGGAATCACCTAAATGCCTTCATCAGAAGAGCTACCATGCCATAGAATATTACTCTTTGTGTGTCTCCCCACTAAACAGTGACCTCTATGAGTTTAAAGTTGATATCTTTTGAGCTTTGAAGCTCCAGAATCTGACAGTGTCTGACAGCAACAGATGTTCAATATATATGTGTTGAAATAATTATATTGAAATAATTAATATAATTATAGTCCATACCTTTCTCTTCTAACCCAGGAACAATTGTGTGTGTGTGTGTGTGTGTGTGTGTGTGTGAAAACATTAAACACTGCTACTAATTGAACACCATCTATTAAATCACCTGGCAGTGTTAAATATGAAAATTTCCATTTCTCATGCACATCAATAGATAGTGCAAATAGATAGTGCAATTTCTATAATTCTTTATGGCTCCATCAGTCTTGATGAGCATAACGCCTTTATAAAATAAGATTTATGCCCAGGGTTATTAAGTGGTAAGAGAGAGAACCCAGGAGGAATGATGCTACTCTTTGGCTAGAGTCAGAAGTCCCTGATCCCCTTTTCATCCCATATATTTGATAGTTAATTATATACAAATTTGTAGCTTTCTCTAGTTGTTTCAGTTTATTCTAGCATACAGCAGAGTGGGAACCCAAGTCAAACATTGGTTTAAATGTGATTAAAATTAATGTTACTCACTTAATTTATTGGCCTGTCTGTCTTTTCTCACTAGCTCTGGAAAGTTGGAGCCATTTCATTGGCTTTTTTCCTTCCAGGTCCCACAGAGAATGATCAGAGCACAGTGAGCCAAGGGCAGGTGGGCTTGGCACAGAAAAGGCCGAGTCACTCTTTAAGTGCAACTTGGTCATTCGGCAGGCTGTAGTGGCCAGACGTAACCCAGGACCTGACTCTGGGATTGATGGCAATGGGTCTGCACAATCACTGCCACCGGTCATCCTTCCAGACCTGGTACCCGCACTGCACATAGTTCAAGTGCCACAGGCAACCTGTGTAGTAATCACAAGCCATGTGCAGCCCATCAGGAATGTTTCCATAGGGGCTGTTTTCATCCAATGAACTGAAACATAAAGGCTTGCCTAAAAATAATTAAACCTGACTTTAAACATTATCAATGCCATGTGTGACATTATGCAATCAGCTCTTGTGTTCCTTAATCATGCATATAGATAGAGTCTTAATTGAAACCAGGTTTGTGGTAGCTCAGATGAGTTGTCCTTTATTCTTTGGAAAAGTGAAAGAAACTAAAGCAGGACTGAACTATGGCTGCTGAACCCAGCTGACCCTCCATGGTAACTTCCCAAGATCCACCATGTCCAGGGGTCCCACAGGATCCCACAACTAGACTGGACATATCCTGGGATGTTGGGTCTCCCAGCAATGAGTCCAAAGAAGGATGCTAGTGTGGATCCCTGCCCAGGAAACAACCTGAGGGAGTGAAAGACATGGCTCACGTGCTAGAGGTAGAGGAAGAAGGGTGTCCCCACGGAGGGGACACTGTGCTGAGTCAGGCACATGAAAGTAGCAATGTAGTATCACAGCAAGGCCCCATTGGATTGGGGGTCCTAGAGATGAGATGGTTAAGTCCAACTTGGCCTACGCGGAGAATCTGTGGGCAGAAGGCTTTGACTTTTCTAAAATCTGATTTTCTCACTTGTGTGAAGAAAAGAGAGATTTTTAAAAAATCTTCCAACCCTCCGATTCTGACAGTGAACACCTACCAGGTGTGAGGCCCTGCGATCGGCACCATGGGAGGTAAAGAAATACTGGATACATTTCTCATTAATCTAGAATTATGCTCAAGTGGAGAAAAAAAGAAAGTTGACGTTGAGATTAATCCTCTATTATCATGATGGGCTTTGCGTGTGTACGTACATACACAAATGCACAGACCCACAAATCTTGGGAATTACGTAACACACATCAAAAACTAGCATAGCTAATGTAAGTCCTGTCCTTGCTCAGAAATGCGATGTCCAGACTCCTTAAGATATTTCTTATTTCCTAAGGGATCAGAGGAATAAGGAGAATTCCATTAGATGATTAGATGTGGTTCTCAGTGTGGAATGGGTGGGGCAGAGTTTGGGATCTAATAATTGAGAAACAGTAGATTAAATAAAGGTTATTTTTTTTCTTTTTTTTCTTCATTGCAGGACTCCTCAGGGACTTTAATAAGCGAATGTATACTGAGATATTCCAAGAGAGGTCAAGATTGCCGTGTTCCAAACTGGGGGCCACAGTGTCCTTTATTATTGATTTCTCAAGTGAGGAGGGTCTTGGGAAATACCCTTTGGGAAACAGTGTGCCAAAGAGGCTGTAAATTCCCTGAAGTCAGCGACTGTGCCCTGCTCATCGCTCTATCTCCAGCACATAGGGATGAGTCACTGAAATATAATAACCTAAAAATCGGCAAAATGACCAAATGAGTAACTGTTGAATTCTAAGCAGAAAGACTGGCATTCACAATAACGTGGCGGTGAGGGCAGGTCAGGGAGCAAGGAATCATCTCTCCATGATGACACACTTTACTGGCTGCGCTCCCAATGGGCACAGGTAAGAGTTTCAGGTGAGGCTCCCTTCACCTTTACAAGAAGCCAAGGGCTACAAATCCACAAGGCACCCAAAAAGACTCCATTTTTTTTTTCTTAACAAAAGAGATAATAAGGGCTTCGTAAAGAATGTTGGCATTTTTCTTTACTAGGAATAAAGAACAACTCAGAGGTCAGACTCCATAATGGAGTTACAGATTATCTTCTTTTCTTTACTGCCACCTTCTGGTTATCAGGTTCCTACATGATAAATTTAAAATGTCACCTATATTTGCATTTCGCTATGGCATTTTAAGGACTTGTTTACATCCTTTACCTCATGACATTACTCAAGTTATGAGTGGTTAGGCTGGCCTTTATTCTTTTTCATTTGACCTGAAGACAATGTAGAACTTTAGTGATTTACATAGTGATAGTAAGTTACGAGCAAGGCAAGGACTAACCACACCTGTTGGTTTCTCCAAAGAACAAACACTGGATTCAGTAACTTGCTTTGTCCAGATACATCTGCAAAGAATTCTACTGCTCTCTCATCCCCTCACAAACATAGTCTTGAATGGAAAATTCCATGCCCTTAAAAAAGAGGATGCTGCTCAAATACTCCCAGATCTTTTCAAGGGTAAAATCCATTTCACTTTACAAGGTTTTTGAGAAAGAATGTAAAGGGTCTATCATTGACTTTTCCTCTGTCAGTTGAGGAGATACCATATGCCCCCAGTGCTACTCCAGGAAGGCGATCCACCATCTTCCTCCTAAACATACCTTGGTTTGGAAGCAGCAATAGAGTTGGGTTAGGTACGGGTGTTTCCGTGCTAGAGCCAAAATCCTCTTCTCTGTCATGGTGCAGTCCACGTCATCATCCTGAAGGATGACGTCCTTCTTTAAGACTTTCACAGCATATACTTCATCTTTGCCTTTGAGCTCTGCCAACATGACCTGCCATCAATCAAAAGCACCCAGTCAGTGTATACAGGTAGGGAATCAAAAGAAGAAGCATGAGTCAATCAATACCAAATGCTTAAAAACTGACTCCTTCTTCCTATCGTTTTAAATAGTATGAAAGCCTTGAAAATGTTTAGAAAAACCACCCATCCACATACACCAGCTACTACCATTTATTTACTTTTAATCTCTAACACAGTGTCCAGCAGAGTTGAATGCACATCTGTTAAGTAATTATTCATGTGTTCATATACATTGATCACACTTGCAGTTATAGTACAGCAAGTATCACATAGCTTTTTTTTAACTGAACAGCAGTTCATAAACATTTTTCTGTATAGTTTCACCATTATGGTGGTTTCTGACACTCAGTTCAAGTAAGTATATTACAATTTATTTAACCTTTTACCTCCTGTTAGACACTTGAGTTATATGTAATTAATACATATTATATAAAAATTGCATAGAGTATTTTTGTACATACAATTTTTTTCTTTCTTTGGGTCATATCCTCAAGATAGAAAGTGACAGAAGTGGATTATGGGGTTAAATAATCACACACTCCTAACATTTTCAAAAAGGATGTATGATATAATCTGCCACTAGCAATGGAGAAGTACTTTAATTTCATGGTAATTTACTAATACTGGGTGTTTTCACATAAAAAGTTACTTTGTTCATGCAATGGGTATGAAATGTTACCTCAATGTTGTTTTAACTTGCAATACAAATTTTTAAATATTTGTTTTCTAATTATATTTCTTTTCTGTGAACTATTTGTCTGTTTGTCTAGTTATCTTCAGTTTTATATTATTTTCTTATGTATTTGTATGAGCTTGGTATATAAAGATACAAAGACTTTTCTGTTAAGGTTTTTCTATATTTGTTTTATAACTTTCTGTTATTTTTTTATCCTATTAGATAGGATCATTTATCTTTATGTAGCTGAATCTATTCTTGTTTACTTTTGTGGTTTCTCCTATAGTTTTAAAGCTGAGAATATGATTTCTTCTCCAGAGAACACATTAGCAGTTCTGTTTCTTGATATTTTTGTACTCATTTCCTTACAAAGGTTGTAATGGGGTAACTTGGCCAGTGTTTTAATAATATTAAAACCTGTACTCAGGGAGCCAGGGAGATTGGCCTGATTGCAACCCGCGATGCGATGTAGCAGGAGTGGCTGCCTGCGCCTGTGACAGAGGCTTGGAGGGGGCTTCTAGGCCACGGGCCCTGCCTGCCCAGACTAACTGTGGCAGCCAATAAAGGAAGAGAATACGGGAGTGATAGTGGGTGTAGCCGATTGTGGGAGGAGTCATAAATGGGGTTACAGACTTCTCTGTAAATTCCAGGCTGGGATTTAAACAAAAAGGCGGGCCGCCATGTGGGGCAATGTGAGACCCTTGCGGGACCACGTGGGTCCATAGAGGGTGAAAGGACTCTGGCTGGCGGGCCATGAGGAGGCGCCGCATGGTTTTAGATTAAGAAGTGGAGATTGCAAGGACACAGCCTTTGATGCTGGGAACCGCAGGAGACCTGCCCAGCCCAGCGCAGACTCCTGGGAGGAACGGGGAGAAGTGAGCTGCGGAATTCTGTTCTGTTCTTCTGGAAGGCGGTACTTGACTGGCATGCTCTGAGACTGGCCTGACTGGGCAAAGGGGGGAAGGCAGGACTGTGTGTTTGTGGGCATTTCTTTGTTTCTAAAGGGAGTGAGACTTAATACCAGAATTCTGCCATTATTCTAAACCGGTATAACTTTTAAGTAAATAATTTCTTTCCTTTTTACCACCGAAAGCCACAGTCCTGGATGTGGCTGCAGGCGTAAAGAACCTAGAGTAACAAAAGACCCCAGGGGAGGGGGTTGTTTCTGTAACAATGTGACAAGCCTTTCTCCCATTCCATATCTAACTCCCCAGTACAGTTCCAGGGCAAGTTGTTAGAACTAAAGAGCAATAACTCAGAAGCTCAATAAGGGAACTCAGGATGTTAACTTGAAGACATTTAGTTGCCCACATACAATACAAATTCCTTAAAACTGGCTCACTTTGATGGTGCTTTTTCCTAAGGAAAAAAAAAAAATCTAAAATGCTCCAGAGTCATCTAAGTTCCCATCTTGCCTACACACACCATATGGAAACCTGGAGACTTGAGGCTGTACGTTTCCCCTCAATCTTGCTCACAATAAAACTGCTCTCATCCTAGAGTTATGCCTGCCAGAGGACTGGGGTCTGCTTCTTATTTAGTCAGTCTCTAAAGAATGTGACTACTTCAGCCTTTGCCATTTGTAAATCTAGTTACCTTCCAGCAGCATTGATCTCAGCCTGAGATGGGGCAGGTGAGATGGGCCAGGAACCAGGCCCTGCACCCTGGGGGCTTCACAAAGCCATTCTCTTTGGAGCCGAGTGGAGATAGCAGGCTCTGCCCTTCAGCAAGCCTCCTGACTCACAGGTAGACTGTGGGGGCATGTGACCCTCCCCACCTCCTGCCAGGAGCTCCCGGAGGCAGGTGCCTGGGCTCTGGGGCAGGGCCCCTCTGCTCTGGAAGGTCCTCGAAAGACAACGCCCATCCATTCTCAGGTGTGGCTTTGCTATGAGCCTAAGAGCCACGGAATCATCAGGGATCAAGGCTGAAATGTTAATCAGCTTCCTAGGCTCTCTGCCCTTCTATCTTCTTGCTAGAATGAATGGAAATTATTGTTCCATCTCACTCTGCCTTCAGAACGGTGGCTGATCACCAGGAATGCTTTATGTGAGTCCCACACCACGTGTCCATCTCAGAGGAAGACAGGACAGGGAGGACAGCACCGTGGGAAGGGGGACCCTGATCCGGGATAGAAGGTGGTTATCCTCACTCTCTTGCCACAAGCTGAAGATAAACAAAATGTTTAGTAAGTGCCAGAAAAGTCAGTTACACAATAGTTGATTTCCAAAGTAACACATACTAAGATTTGTTTTGAGCCCTGAGTTCACTGAGGGCAGAGGTTCTAGGGTTCATTTTCAAAGTCTTCGTAAGGAATTAAAACCAGATTTCAGATGACTCTGAAGGAGGGAAGAAACGTATTGCTACTAGTATTGATAGTGAAATGCCGAGCACATGTAAAGCACTGTCAACTTTCAAAGTACTTTTTGACCCACTAGGTCACTTGATTCTTGTCCCCATTTGACAAGCAGGACACACAGAATCCCAAAGAGATAAAACGTCTGCACTGAAGTTCCACAGCCAGTTAAGAGCAGAATCCCAGCTCCTATGTGCTTGACCTTGGGCCACTTTCACTCAATAAATGAGGAAAACATAACAAGACCGGGCAGAAAGTTCATCGCTTAATCTTACGTCAAACAAATGAGAGGACGGATGCCGCAGGGTTCCACCCACACGGCCCACAGACCTTGCCAAAGCTGCCTTTGCCCAACACTTTGATGAAGTTGAACTCCTCCAGGCCCAAGCGCTTGGCCTGGCCTTGCCGGACTTCGCCGTTCTCGCCGGGGCTCGCCAGCTGGCCATCTGTGGATGCTGCCGCCCTGTGCTCCTCCCCTCGGTTGTCAAATGACAGGGCCTTCCGGATGTTGTTTTCAAGTTCTTTTAATTCTACGGCCAAGGGTGACAAGAGAATGCATTAGTGCACACCTCACGGGCCCTTTCCATGAGGATTCAAAACTCAGAATTTCACCCCCATGAGTTTGCAACCCTCTTTTTCGCTCTTCATAGCAACTGATCCAGTGGGGCATCCCTTTAGGTTCCCTCCTTTGCTCTACACATATCCACTGGCACCTAATGAACAGCAGGGCCTAGGCATGAAAGGAGGAGGGGGACACAGCCCACCAACCAGGTCCTTCAGCTTAGATTGGGACCCCACCACCTCTCTGAAAGCCCCCAGGGGCTAGCAGCCTATTCAATTATTCTTGGTTGGAAGAATCCCAGCCTTCTTTCTAGAACCTTGCAGAGTTCCAAAGGCAATGGATAACCTTTGAGTTTCCTTTGAAGATTAGAGACTAATTGACAACTGTTGTCTTGGTAATAAAATTACTTCACTTTCTAAAGGACTTTACTTGGCTTTGTTGCTGGGTTAACTCTAAATACCCATCTCTTGCAAGGCTGTTAAACAAAATGAGCAAGGAGTTTATCATTAACCAAGGAAGTGCTTCCCAAGAGACATGCTGCAGATTTATCTCAGATGGGGCAGGGATTCCTCAGTACAATTTCACAATGGTGAGATGGTCCTGCTTTCTCGAGAGTACGTGATGTGAACTCCCTCGGTGTGGTAATGCTGGATGACCTTTTGATCTTTTCACTTGGAGGGAGCTTTGCTGGTAGATATTAATTCACCAAGACTCACACTCCTCTGTGTACTGGGTTGGCCAAAAAGTCCATACAGTATTTTTTCCATAAAAGAAAAGACACATTTTTCATTTTCACTAATAACTTTATTGATTTGGATATTTTGAGTATGTTGGCTATCTCCTGTGTGGTATAACATTGATTCTCAATTAATGTCTCAGCTTGATTGCTATCAACTTCATCTGGCCTACCCAACCGTAGAGCATCGTCCAGTGAGAAATCTCCAACACAAAACTTTGCAAACCAGTTTTGACATGGTTGGTTAGTCACAGCGCCTTCTCCATACACTGCACAAATATATTTTTGCATTTCAATTGCATTTTTACCTTTCTTGAAGTAATAAAGCATAATATGCTGAAAATGTTGTGTATTTTCTTCCACATTCAATTTTAAAATGGCTACACAAAAATTTACCAATTTTGATTTTTTAAAAAATGCATGCTGATATGACAGCTATCACAATACAATGTAACAAAATTATTTTGAATGAAGTTAAAGACAATAGAGCGCCACTAGAGCCACCTTACGGGAAAAAAAAAATCAAACTTTTTGGCCAACCCAATAGAAATGGGCACCTTGAGCATAATCCAATTTTAAGACACTCGTGAATAAAACTTGGATTACAGAAGGGGAACACTGACTTTTAACCCTTGGGAACCAGAATCAGACACGAGTGATCAGATGCTGTTGACATAGGGATCTTCAGCTTCTTTCCAGAAGCACAGAGGCCCACAAGAGCTCACTCGAGGAACCTGGAAATCTCTCTGATTTGGTGTTTGGCTCCCCTGGGGACAAGAGGGGTCAGGAGAGCTTCTGATCCTACAGTGGTTTCCTACCACATACTCTTAAGTATTACTTTTAATCTCAGCATAGAACAAAAAGTCTCAGTTTCCAAGGACAAGTTATTAAATGGGTTTTGGAAGACAGAACTTGGGTGTTTAGGGATACTAAAGACTAAAGAGAATGTCTAAGTGTCCTTACAATGAAGGAAGCAGAAACCTTCATTGTTTTCTAACCATGCCGTATCTTGCTAAGAGGGTTTTCACAGTCATCTGTACTCATGTCACTGCAGGGTGGTCCTGGTACCTGCATTAACTGGGGGCAGGGCGAGGCCCCGAGAGGTACTGCACCCTGCCAGGGCTCGACAGCACACTGGGCAGGAACCAGGTCTAGAAACCTGGTCACCTCACTCGTACTGAGGGTCTCTTTACCATATGACCCCATCTCCCTGAAGTTTCTCAAAGGGGGTCTCAGCATTAAAAAGGGAGACATGAGAACACCCACACTGGACCAGAACAATACCTACTGGTCTGGAGGTCACAGAGCATCATCAGACAACTTACAAATGGGTTAAGCTTCTTTTGGAGTGATGCACAGTATAAATGTGCATTAGGTTAATCAGAGCAGCACAAAGAGAGACTCAGACCAACTATTTTGTGTCCTCAGGGCTGGCACACTGTCCCTGCAGCTGTTTTATTCTCTCCTGGGTAAGAAGAACAGGGTCACAGTGATGACCTCCAAGGAGGGTTTGATGGCGCAGATTCTGAGTGCGGGGTCCCTAAGCCAGGAGGGGCATGGTCTTGCCCCTATCCCTGGCTTAGACCCTGACCTTTGGACGAAACTTTTCAATTCTCTGACCTTCCACTTCCCACCCAGTAACATGGGGACGCCAGCACAGAGTTGGTGTGAGCATAAAATTCAAATGATGGATACAAAAAGGGGCTATGAACAAACCCAGGCACTACCATGCAATGACGACTAGCCCTGTGCTGCAGAGGCACACTTCCCTCCCAGTGACATCGGGTTCTGCTCACCAGAGGGGAAGGTTTTAAACTTGTAAGTCCCTGCTTGGCCTCACCATTCTTGCCTGCAGAATCAGGCAAGAAAACGGCCTGAGCTGAGCTTTAAGGGGAGTGAGGCCCAGAGCTGGCTTCCTGCCCACGTCCAGCCATCTGTTCTCCAACTTTGTCCTATTCCCATCCACCCACCCTGACTCCTGCCCTGATCTCAGGTTTTGGGTGTGATGACTAGAGTCAGAAGGAAGGAAATCAAACTCAGCTGAGAGACTCTGTCAGGCCTATGGCAGACACTGGGGCAGAGTGGTAAGAGAAGGGGCTGTACCTCCTCCCTCTCCTACGCTGGGAACCAGGAAAAAGAAAGAACCACAGCATCATGTGCTCTCCTCTCTTATTTTGGCCTGGAAGGGATTAAAGGCAGAAAAGCATTTAGTGCTTTGCCCTCAAGAAAGCCTTGTAGAGTGAAAGAACAGCTAATGAGTCACCAGGGAAAGTGTGTCTGAAGACCTTCCAGGCCGCTGGCTGTTTTGGCTAATACAGGGCCATTCTTGGGTAAAGAGGTCTCAGCTCCTTGGAATGTCCAATGACCAAGCTCAGAGGTAAAGAAGCAAACCTAAGGGTCTCACCCTGGTCACAAGGGGAGGTGGGTGCTGACTTGGACCGATCTTCCTCAGTGGGTGAGCTTCCAGAAGCAGGCTGTGGGGACTCAGCACCAGCAATGAGCTAAAGAGTGGGAGAGAGAAAAGGGGGAGAGAAGCATCAGAAAGGAGGGTGGTGAGTCTCCCTGGGGTCAAAAGCATCCAGGTCCCATACCAAGCACCAAAGGAGATCCTGGTGCACAGTAACACTTGCTGAGCTGATGGTCTGAAAGCAGTCTCAAGGTTTCATTGGCCAATTAAAGGGAAGAAAACAAGAAACTTCAGTTTGTTCAATTTTGATTCTTTCCAAATACAACTGATCTTTTAACGCAAAACTCAACGATACCCCCTTCCATAAAACCTCCCTTGCCAGTCCAAGCAATGCAAGTTATGACACTTGCTGTCTCTAACACCGCTTTGCCATTTACTTTTCTCTCGTTCAGTTTTAGTTAATAATATCTGTTTGTGTATACTGTGCAGGGCTCTCTACTCAGGTAGACTACAGGGTTTTCGAAGGTAAGACTCTATCCAGTACGGCACTGACATTGCCCCTGCTGACTTACACCACATGATACACATAACAGATGCTCAGCAAATACTTTCAGATACATTGGTATTTGTTGGCAAAGTTTAACAGGACATTCCCAGTGAATTCTATTTTCTACACAACTGCTGGCATATCCATTTTAAATTCCCATTAGAGTCAGAGGTTTGGACTAAGAGACCATAAGATCTCCTGTTCCCTTTCCCTCTCGGCTACCAGCTGTGTGCACACGCCCTTTCTCGATGATGGACTGACTGCCCGCAAGGGGCAACATGAAGGGAGTGAAGGCTCCGGCGAGCCTGACACTCCTGCAAAGAGGCCCTTTTAGCGTCTGACCAAGGGCACCTGCCTCCCATCCTCTCATACGAACTTGAGCTTCTATGCGATTCACTTGGCTTTTTCCAGAGTTTCCATCAGAAGCATTGCAGCAATAAAAATAGCAGGACTGAACTCCCTTAGTCTTTTACTCTGCTTCTCCCTGAATTTCTCCATATTGGCTTCTTACCACAAGGTTCCCCAAATCCAAGATAGACCGTTGATGCCTGGCAACTGGCATTATAGCCCATGTAAATATGAGGCTGAGGGCAGGAACAGAGTTTTAAATGTTTCATGACAATAAAGATTCTGTCTCAATTTACTTCCAGCAAGGAAACAAAATTCTTCTGAAAATGGTCCACCGGAGCTCCTCGATGTGCGTGTCCAATATCGTCATCACACAGTGTTTACATAACCGCCCTCTCTGGGGGGCCTCGCTCTCTTGGGTCTGTCTTTTGCTTGCAATTCAGTGCTTTGGGTCAATAATGTAAGTCCTGTTTCCACCAGTGGGATGTACAGAGCTGAGAAGAGTCACCGGAAGCACAGAATCTCACAGTTAACCAGAAAAAGAGGCCTTTCCCCCCCCTGCAACTGTTGTAAAATAGCTTTGTTTACTGGGAACGCAGAGAAGAAGCAGTTTAAGAAAATGAAAACAATCCACTCATTCCCATTCAAGGGAGAAGGTGCTTCTGAGAGGCACCAGGGAAAAGGCGTGGCAGTTTCTAAAATGAGAAGGGAAACACAGAGCCCTTCAGAAGACATTTTAGGGCAAAGTTTAGGAGAAGCATGTAGGAGGCAAGATTGTAGAGGCACTCGGACCTAGACCTGCTTTCCTAGTAAAGGCCGGAGAACGCCTGACACCGGGCAACGAGGGCCACTGCCCAGCTCCCTCCCCCGGCATTTCTTGCCCAGGGACCTTGGTTCTGATTTTGTCATAACTTATTTTTTTCAAAGACACTTAAATTTTCTAGGTTAGCGGCCAAGGATAAGAAGGGCCTTTGAACAAAATGCCATAGATACCTTTTTGCTCTGTTTACGTCTGTGGGCCCTGACTTACCGAAACAACATTTTAACAAATGGATCTCTTCCCACTGACATTCAGAATGTCACGTGGCTAGAGACAGGGCTTTGGTCTCCAAAGAGAAGCCCAGATGTTGCATGTCACGGGGCATTAACAATGTTCCTCAGGCAGCTGAGTGCCGGCACTATCACAAATCTTGGCTCGCTCCCTAGAAAAGAATGTGGTTCCAGCTCTTCATCCATTTAGCCTCATTACAGTGATACCAGAGGCAAAGTTCAAACACTGACATTGCTCTCATGCCAGTTCTGGAGGCAGATAAGCCTATTTCCTTGTCCAGAACTGCCCTGCTTTTCTAGAGGGAATTCCAACTTGCTTTGTTTTCCCTCCACTTCAGGAACTGAAGGAGACTTTAATGTTACCTGCCTGGCCTCTTTTTTCTTTTTCTTTTAAGCACATGCTATTTTGAATACAGTGTCTCAAACCCAACAATCTTGAGACCTCCCTCCCAAGCCCTCTCAGGAAGCCAGCACAGAGATGCTGGCTCCAAAGAGCTCCAGAAACCCCACCAAGCGGCCCATTACCTTTTTCCTCCTCTGGCCGCTGTTGGTGATTTTGTCTGGAGTGACACCAAGGTCAGCCAGGACTTTGGCAATTCCTCTGGCGTCCACCCCACAGTTGGGAGCCACGTTGGTTTCACAGCGTCGGTGAACATTCATCTTGCAGACTGTAAGGAGACACAGAAAGAAACTTCAACACTGTTCCTGGCCTAAGGAAGATCTGATTTTTTCCTGACGGTAAAGCACTACATGTACGTTTGATAGGGTTTGGAAAATGCAGAAAGATGAAAAGAGGAAAATAAAAATCTTCCGTCATCTCATCACACAGAACTAAAATCATCCACCAAACTACCATATGCGATAACAATTACTTACCAATTAAATAAATGGCACATTTAAATTTCCTTTCAGGGAACAGAACACTGACTGTAGAAGAACTTAATTGGTTTATCTGAAGAAAAGTTCATTTGGTGTATGAACCCAAGGGGTCACAGGTATAGAGTCCACTCTATTCTTCTGCTGAAAGGGGGATTATTACCCAGAGAGGAATGCCCTGAACAGAGCCTTCTAAGATGCTCACCTGAAAATGCGGAGATTGAATGAAGTGAACTCAAGGCACCTTTCAAATCTAAAATCCAATTTCAACAGACCAAAGGCCATGCTTGAATGTATTCCTTTGGCCCACGTCACTTAGTTGTCCTTGGTAAAGGACATCAAAGAGAAAACAAACTATTCTGGTTTCCAGTCCCGCACGTAAGGAGCTTAGATGTAATCACTCTGTCCTAACAAGCAAAAAGCTGAACAAACTGAGAAATCAACAACTCTTCTTGGATTTATCAGAGAAGGTCAGTCACAGGCAAAATGCCATCCCCAAAATGGGAGAGACAGGTGACTACAGGGAAACATGACCCACTGGAACAGAAATTGCCCAGCGGCAACCTCTGGGCGAACCCGGGCCAGGAGAGAAGAATCTGAACGGAAACTGGCAAATGGCTGGAGTCTCAGAGAGGACAAGTCTGAGGGTTAAAAACTCAAGGCAGATCCCATGCTTTTGTGAGTTTTACATCTAGGAGTTTGACCAGGTTCTCGTTGTGAATATTGAGGGGAAAAAAGTCTCTGCTCTGGCAGAAAGAGGGGATAAAGGAACCCATCGAAATACGCCAGAGCACCCCAGAGGCTAACCTGTTAGAGTTTTATCAGATCCTAACCCTTTGAGGGGAGGAAAAGTACCCAATGCCAGCCTGCTCTAGCCACCCCGTCCCACCTAAGAGGGGAGAAAACCTGACCTTATGAAGTTCACAATCCAGAGGCACAGCTCACTGGAAGATCTCATCACAGGGCCATGGTTCGCCCCTCGTCCCCACCTTTCACCACCGCAGTCCTATAGGCCTATCTACTGCGCTGCCTGTTAACCGGCACATCATGTCTGGCTGTCTAGAAAAAAAAGTTACAAGGCACACTAAATGTCAAAAAACACCATTTGAAGAGACAGATCAAGCAACAAACCCAGAACCAGACATGGCAGGGGTGCTGGAATGATCAGACTAGGAATTTAAAACCACTATAATTAACATGCTAAGAGCTCTGAACAATAAAGTAGATAGCACGTAAAAACGGGTGGGCAATGTAATTCTAAAAAAGAATAAAAAGGAAATGCTAGAGATCAAAACCACTGCAGCATATATTAAGGTATCAGTCATAGGCCCATTAGTAGCATGGATATAGCCATGGAAAGAACCTTTGAACTTGAAGATATGTCAATAGAAATTTTTGAAAAGAAAAGAGAAAAAAGACTGAAAAACAGGAACAGAATACTTAGGAACTGTGGGACAACTACAGAAGGTATAACATACCTGTTTGGGAAATACTGGAAGGAGAAGAGAGAGAGAAAGGAACAGAAGAGAAATTTGAGGCAAAAATGACTGAGCATCTCCTTGAATTAATGTCAGACAACAGACCACAGATCCAGGAAGAACACTAAGCAAGATAAATGAAAAATATATAATAATGAACAAAACTATACCTAGGTATATCATATATGAATGGCAAAAAATTTAAAAAAAAAATCTTGAAAGAAGCCAGAAGGAAATAACACCTTTCCTGCAGAAGAGTAAAATAAAAATGATACCTGACCTCTCAGAAACCATGCAAGCAAGAAGAGAGTGAAATATGTAAAAGTATCTAGAGGGGAAAAAAACCCAACATAGAGTGCCCTGTGAAATTATCTTTCAAAAGTGAAGGAGAAATAAAAGACTTTCTCAGACAAAAATTGAGGGAATCTGTTGCCAGTAGACCTGCCTTGTAAGAAATGCTAAAAGAGGTTCTTCAGAGAGAAGGAAAATGATATAGGTCAGAAACTCTATATCTACATAAAGAAAAAAATCTCTCAGCAGCCAAGAAATAGAGGGAAACTTCCTCAGCTTAAAAAAGAATATCTACAAAAACCGACAACTAATATCACAATGGTGATAAAGAACTGTTTACCCACAACATACAAAGAACTCTTAAAAGTCAACAATTAGAAAATGAACAATTCAGTTAAAAAATGCACAAAAGACCTGAGCAGAAACCTCACCAAATATACAGATGCCGTAAAAGCACATAAGATGATTTTCAACATTATATGTCATTAGGAAATTGCAAATTAAAGTGAGCTACCGCTGCATACCTATTAAAATGGCCCAAATCCAAAAACTGACACCAAAATGCTGGTGAGCATGTGGAGAAGCAAGAATTCTCATTCCGTGCTGGTGGGAATGCAAAATAGTGCAGATGCTTCAGAAGAGAGTTTGGCAGTTTCATATAAAACTAAACATACTTTTAGCACATGACCAAGCAATCACGCTTCTGGGATTTACCTGAGCGAGTAGAAAGCTTATTTCCACACAAAACCCTTCACACGGGTGTTTACAGCAGTTTTATTTATAATTGCCCAAACTTGTGAGCAACCTAGATGTCCTTCAGTAGATGATTGGGTAAATCATGACTGGGTATATTCATACAATGGAATATATTATTCAGCACTAAAAATGAATTAGCTATTAAGCCATGAAAAGACAAGGGAATCTTAAGTGCACATTACTAAGTGAAAGAAACAAATATACTCGATATAAATTCTATGATTCCAATTATATGACATTCTGGAAAAGTAAAACTACACAGACAGTAAAAAGATCAGTGGTTGCCAGGGTTTAGGGGAGGGGCAGGGGTTAATAGACTCAGCACAGAGGCTTTTTGGGGGGGGGGGTTAAACTGCTCTATATGATATTACAATGGTGGATTCATATCATTCATTACATGTTTGTCCAAACTTATGAAATGCATAACACCAAGAGCGAATCTTAATGTAAACTGAGTGATAATGATGTGTCAGTGTAGAATTATTGATGATGACAAATGTACCACTCTGGGGGGAGATGTTGATGTTGGGGAAGGCTGGATGTGTGCAGGGCTGTAGTATAATGAGGAGTTTCTATGCCTTCCCTTCAATGTTGCTGTGAACCTAAAACTGCTCTAAAATATAGTCTATTACACACACACACACACACACACACACACACACACACACCCGTTTTTGGAAGGAAACCAGACAGGATGGCCAGACCTTCTTCTGACCTTGCATGGCCTGGTCCCTGGCCTAGGGGGAGAGACAGCTCAGATACCACCCCCTGGCCTCCAACCCAGGCTTGGAGAGCTCAGCTGGGGATGCCTACAGAACCACATGTGGAGGTGTGGGGTGGGTGTGCTGACAGAAAGGGAATTTCTCAGTAAATTCAAACAAGAAAACTCCACCCAAACTTGGCCACAGCATGGGCCTGATTAACTATTACTGACGATGCCTAAAAATCCACAGATCCGTCACAGACTCCAGGCAACAACACTGTTCTGAATTCTCTGTCCTACTCTCCTTAGCAATAGCTACCCTTGACACTCAGTTCACTTTACCAGCACCTGCCCACCAACCCCATGAACGTCCTAGTCTTTCTTTTCATTAGGCAACAGGAAGGACAGCGAATTGAGATCTTTTCTTAGCAAGGGCAGCTTGTGTACATAATTTAGCCACTGGTGCCCTCTGGTGTTGAAAATCTGGACCCGTCCTAACAATTTGCTTGGGTTGGCAGGTTAGCAAAATAGAAATGGCCTTTGAGGACTTTTCTTTTATTACTTTCAAAAACTGTTATTTTCTTGGGTGAGCTGTGTACTTGTCTTAACACATAAAAAAGAAAAAGTCCCAGTGACATGTCAGTGAAAATGGATGACTTTGAAAGTGCTTTTAAAATTCTGGAAACAAGGGGACAAGGCTGGCTGAAGATGGGGAACTTGGATAACAATGGGGCTCCTGGAAGCAGGAGGGTTACACCAGGAGGCAGTAAAACCAAACGGATGTGCCAGCTGGCACCCGAAGAAACCTGAGGTTCACTTACAGTAATGTGGGCCCCACAAACCACCCACATCCCTCCTCGCCCCGTCACTATCGCTGGGCTGCCACTTGTCACCTGGGCTGCCCTTGGGGCTTCTCTTTGCAGGCTGCCTCTTACTGTTCACTTTCAGCTGCTTTTGCAGGGATGAACTGTGCTGGGAAGAAACAGGGCAGCTTCGCTGGGGCTCTTTGAAAGGAGAATCATTATCCTACCACTACCCAATTTTTCATCACAGAGTTGTTGAGCTTCCACTGTGCGCTGGGTGGTGCTGCAGCAGCGCTATCGTCCTCAGGACAGACGGGGGCCCAGGCACACTGGCCTGCATTTTGGTTTCCATGTTTGCACCCTTTTCACAGCTGAGATTAAAGCTAGGATTGCAATGAGGCGGGTCAGACTGCCGGGAATTCTTCCAAAGCAAGCAGACAGCTCTCTGAGGATAATGACAAAGCCATGCCGGAGGAGAGAGGCAAGCCTATGAGACCCCCAGGAATTTATGGTACGGTGATCTGGCCCCAGGGCGATGGTGCGATTTAACAACAGGTTCTAGTCAGCCATGCCATTCTTGGAAACTGAGAATAAACAATTGTGACCAGGAAATTGTGTAATTGTGTGAGGGAGGTTGGCAGAGTGACGGACTGCAGAGTCCTAGGCAGAAGACGAAAAACGGAGTGTCGAGGGGTAGCTCCAGAGGGTCAAACTGGGCACCAATTGTCACCAGAGGGGGAACTGGGAGTCCTGATCACACTGGAGATGCCATTCAAAGCTCCCCGGAGACTGTGACTGGCCAACTGCCTGCTACCCAGCATTCCTCAGGTGAAAACACTCCATGCATAATGGGGGTCACTAAGTGTCGATTTATATTCCCTTTAATCATAACAGTAGAACCAGGCTTAGATCCTGCCAAAAAGGGCCCCTGCCCTGACCCATGCTGGCCTCTTCTGGCCATGATGCTCTCGCTACAGGTAAGGTGTTTGCAGGGGCCGAAAGACTTGAGGCTGAGAAAGAATCAAGAGAGAGAAGTAAACACATGGGACTCAGGGACAGTGAAATTACTCGGTATGATACTACATGGGTGGATACATGTCATTATACATTTGCCAAAACACACTGAATGTCCAGCAAGCGTGAACCCCAGTGCAAACCATGGACATGGGGTGATTATGACGTGTCCATGTGGGTTCAGTTGTAGTAAATGTACCGCGCTGGTGGTGGATGTGGATGGTGGGGAAGTTCAGTGTATGTGGAGGCAGGGGCCATATGCAAAACCTCTGGACCTTCGCTGTGGATCTAAAACCGTTCTAAAAAAATAAAGTTTATTGAGAGGGAAGGAAGGAGGAAAGGAGGGGTGGGGGTGGGGCAGGGAGGGCTGCAGGAGTAGGTAAGCAGCAAGGGGAAACGGCCAAGCCAGGGTAACAGAAGAGCAGGGGCCGAAACCCTGGACAGCCTTTTCCTCTAGTCTCCGCGTGGCCTGACCCCACTGCCCCCCGCCCCCCACCGCCACTGCCCCCTTCCCCTGGCTCCAGTGCACAGGTATCATCGCTGTGGGCAGCCTCGCTCTTCCATCCTTCACTTGAGCAGGCATGAGTGTGTTTCCTGCCAAACCAGTGCTGAACACACGTCTCTGGGCCCTGCTTCTCCCAGGGTCATCCAGGGACCCGCAGCCTAGCAGCGGCTTCCGGTGTCTGGGTTGCTTTCTTAAAATATCAATATTTATGAGATAATGGTATCGTCATTTGAATTCCCTAGATAGATCAATAATGAACATATTTATTAAAACCCAGACATGGCCTCATCTGAGTCCCATCCAAAGCAGGCTCTGTGCTTCCCAGCAACTCTACTCAACACTCCAAATATTCAGCACTCCTCTGCTGAAAACATTCAAGAGTCCTGCTCTGTTATTTTCTCTTTTTTTTTTCCGCATTTGATTGTCTTACTCTTCCTTTGTTTTAATGTCATTTAATGTCTAAAAGGGTTCTGGCAGACTCTGTTTCTTTCAGGATTGGGGGTCTGAATACTAGAAAGGCACATGTGAATGTCTGGGAACTTGACACAGGACACCAGACGTGGCAACAGTTGGCACTTCCTCCTGTCCTGGGTCGGGTGGTCCGCAGTTCCCGCCACGGCCGTTTCCAGCCTTCACCACCCTCCTCCTGCCTTTCACACCCCTGCTTCTCATTTCAACTTCAAAAAGGATCTATTTCAGAAAATAAGGGAACTCTCATGGCAATGCCCTCAGCAGATTCAGAACTTTGATGACCACTTTGTACCCACACTTCCCCTTAGACTCCTACCCTGGACAGAACACAGCAAATGTATCTGTGCCCAGGACGCTTCTTGAGGCTTTGCCTCCATCTGGGAGGAGGGGCCTCTATCTTCCCTGAAGGGCCTCCTTTGCCCTGTCCCTGCTCTATCAATAGTCCCTTCTCCCTCCTGGCGCACTAATATCTCCTTTTCCGCCATCATTTTCCTAATGTAAGACATTCTGAAAATGCTCCACCCTCTGTCCTCCGTTCAGCCTCTGCATTTGGGCTTTCATCTCCACCATCAGCCAAGACAGCTCCTGCTGAGGTCACTAGTGACTCCTTCGTGTTAAATCCAAGCCCATATTTCACTTCTTATCTTAAGCTCTTGGAAGCACTTGGCACTACCCACTGCTTCCTTTGAAATTTTTTTTTAATATTCTACTCCTTTGGCTTTAACAGTGCCATTTCTCGATACTTTTCCTCCTGCCTCTGAGGTCCTTCCCCCTGTTCCTTTTGCAGGCTCGTCCTTGGATGGTGGTAACCATCCTGCCCCCGGCCCCCAAGGTGCTAGCTTCTCTCTTCACACCCAGGGGACTTCTCCTGGGGATGACACCTATCCTGTAGCTTTCACTGCTACTTAGACATTGACAAATCCAACTCAAAGTGCTTGGTCTAAACTTCTCCCCTGAGTTTCTAAGAGAATGTCCAGAAGTTGGACAGCTCCATGTAAATTTCCCAGAGGCACATTGAGTCAGCACGTCCCCAACTCACCTCTACCACATCTGCCTCCAGCCCTATAGCCTCTCCTATCTGAGCAAATGGGCCACTGTCCTCCCAGTGGGACTTGGTCACCACATCCAATTAATTACTCTCCAGTATCACATTAATTATCCACTGTTTATTCCAATCAAAGGCATTGCCTTCTTTACAATCCTGATAATTTCCCATTGGGATCCCGTCAATGACCAATTTGTTCTTGATCTTGGTTTTCCTTCTTACTCTTTACCTCTTTTTCTATTTTTTACATAATGGGGGTTTATTAATAATATATTCAGTACAAATAATAAAATACTGTTTTTAAATAACGGCCATGCAACATTCCTGCCTATTAATTCACAGTTGTCCAACTCTGTGAGTAGGTGGACCAGCTTATGGAAGTGGACATGATGTTTAGGCCCCCAGAGTACGTTCTCACCTTCCCATATTATGTGCTATTACCCATGCCACTTACCATAACCATTTGTGCAGATGATCATTCATGGGAAGGTTAGCAGGAAACAGAGGAAGGAACTCAAGACTTAAGAGTCAAAGTTCAAACCCTATTTGTGCTAACAAGCTGTGTGACATGAGCAAGTGACTTAGTGTCTCTGAGCCTCCGTTCCCTCACTAGGGACTGGGGATACTATACCTACACCATAAGCCTATGAAGGATCAATAAAATGTCTTATGTGACAGCATTCTAGCATGGCTCCTTCCAAGAGTAAGCCCTGAGCCATGGACTGTGACAGAAAAATATCAGTCCTTATTTTAGTGCCTAACTCCAAAAACATTTTTTCCCTTCTGCTCCAATGTATCTTTTCCTTAATTTTTTCTACGCTTTTATAGACTCCTGTTGTCTTCCCAGCTTGTCAACTGTCTTAAAAGGGGAGGTCACACCTTCCTCCTCGCCTTCCCTCCGTAGAGTTCCCCTGGCTGGTGTCCGTACAGAGATCATTTAACAAAATCACAGAGTAACTAATGAGGGCTCAACAAGAGCTTCTGTTCAGACATCCTGCCAAACCTGGAAACTACGTTTGAGGCCATGAGAACAGACACAGATTTTTTTCAGAAGAGGAGACGACAGGGGCAGGACGGGGGAGGCGGGGCACGGAGCTCCTTACCTTTGCACTGCAGACCCTGCCGCAAGAGGCCCCAGAGCAGGGACCCACAGTGGTCACAGAATGTGGGGACCTTGTAGTTGTGGATACTGAACTTGTGGGGCATGTTGACGCTGAACCGCTGGGAGCCCACCTGCAGGGATGGCAAAACACAGGGTCATGGCCAAGTTCCTGTGCACCCTGGAGTACTTATCACCGGACCTTCTACAGAACTTCTTTGCAGAATGCACGGTCATTGCAGGTGGCAGGCCCTAGCTTGGCTCTGAAAGCTGCCCTGAGAAATGAGGTGAAGAAAGCCTCTCCCCCACCCCAGGGCCTTTGCTCCTGATGCCCTTATCCCATGTGTGACTCTGTGAGGCCAGGCCTGCTCCCCGATGCAGTCCCCTCTGGGACTTTAGGCCTCTACCTCTCAGGGCACGCAACACTCAATTTGCACCTCACGCTTGGCCATTAATGAGCTGTCATCATGTGCTTTCAATGCTGCTTTGTGCACAGAAGCCACACCTAGGCAGTCTTTCGGTGGACGCAGAATTCTAGAAACACCCTGAAAACCCAGCCCAGCTTCAGCACTTGCAGGGAGCCAGTAGGACAAAAGATAACACAGAGTGGTGACTACTAAGGGTGCTATGGTGTGGGTGCTGACCACAGAACAGGCACTACCAGCTCGGTTAAACCTCTCTGCCACCCAATGGAGTAGGCTGTTAGCCTGAGTTTACAGATGAGGAAATTAAGGTGGAGGGAGATTAAGAAACGTGCCTAGAAGCTGATAATGGGCACAGCCAGGAATCAATGCCCACGAGTCTAAATTCAGAGCCCAGGCCTTTTAACCACTAGGCTGCCAATGACTGATTATTTAAAAGTGTAAAGAGAAGGTGGCAGGTGGATAGGAGGGGGTGGGGACGAGGAGTTAAGGTCTCTGATCTGTAGGCCTGGTTCTGCTATGAGCCACCCCTGAAGTCTCAGGCCAGTTTTCCGACTTCGTCGGGCTTCAGAGTCCTTATGTGGCAAATGACAATGGTACTACCATCCCACCTAATGTCACAGGACTGGGGGATTGAGGATATTCCAAGGGTGGAAGAAGTGGGAATGGCTAAGTGTTCCACAGAAGCAAGGGTCATCAGCAGGGCCTGCCTTTCTGCTTCTTCTTGCCCCTCCATGGGGCTACTCTCCAGCTACGTCTCTAGCAGAGCAGCCACAGGGGACACGTCCTTCTCAAAACAGTCAGGGGGCCATCCTCTGAGACCCCTGTGGGCTGGGGAGAAAGTTGCTTTTGCTACTCTGGGAACCAAGAAATGAAAAGCAGGCAACAAAGAAGCTGCCCTTGGTTCCCTGCTGACTGGTGAGTAAAAAGCCCCTGTGGGAGACTAAGAAGGGGGATGACAGCTGGACACAGACATAGACATGGACACTGTCATGGACGTAGACCTGAACACAAACACAAAGGCATGCTGCATGCACAAACACACAGTCAGGATCACTCGGCTCCATGAAGAGTTCTCTATGACCTGCAATGAGGGATGGTCAGTATTTCCAATGGACCAGAATTTTACTGACCCCTGCTTGAGATGCATGGGCTACCACTTAGAGTTTTCTCCCAATACAAGATTCCCAGATTTACTGAAAACAATAGTGATTACCTCTCCTCAGCTTCATTACTTAGGTGTGCCTATTTGGGCATATAGTCATGTCAACTCTACGTCTGCCTGCTCACTGCAAGGGTGTTGGAGATCACTGTGCCCACTCTATTCCTGAAGATGCTGGTGACACGGTAGACCTATACTCAGAAGAGACTCATGGTGTCCCAGGAGTAGCCTCCTAGGGATATGGATGACAAACGAGGGGGAAGTGGTGGGGAAGAGTCCCAGGTGACTAGGAGGGTCAGTGTTGGGTGGGACAGCTGTGTGCCCCTAGTTGTGAGTAGTAAGGACACTATGGTATCAGAGGATGGTGACAGGAGGAGGATGGAGCCCACGTGAGAGCATGGCACAGAATCAGAGTGCGTGCGGGACAGATACACCATTCCTATTGAGCATGGCTCAGAAACAGAGGGGCGAGTGAGACCAACAAAGAGAACACAGGGAGGAAGGAACAGGCAGAGAGAATTGAAAGATTGATGGGGGGGGGAAAGGAAAGGAAGGAAGGTGACACAGAGAACATTCCTTGGTCACTGCACCTGGAAAGCGCAGGGAGGGGTATGAGTCATAAGTGCTAACACACACACACAAGACAGGGCAAGCGTGTTGGCCAAGTGCTCATGATGCAAAAGTTCTAAGGAGCCCGTCAGCAAAGCACCTTTAATAGGAAGACGTTAGACACTTTGCATTTAGAGTGACATGTGTTTGGGGTCTGTATGTAGCTATGGATGAGGTGTGTGTGCATGTGGATAATACTGCAGGTAGTTACACAAAAGAATTAACCAAAGGTTGATCCCCAGCAGTGCTACACCAGGCAGAGAGCTCATCCCTTGCCTTGATGGCCCAGGGACACACCAGCGCTAATATACTGGCCTCAAGGAGCACCAGGATGAGCTAAGAAACTCAAAGTCCCTTTCCTCAACCCCTGGCAATTCATCTCCCTTGGGATATGGGCCAAGTTTGGGAACATAGCCCACTTGTAACTTCTTTTCCATTCTCAATATGTCAGGAAAGACCATCGGAACCAGGTCACAGATGAAGCTGGGTTCTATGCAGTTCAAACCCTCTGACCTGCATGGTGAGGACTCCTGTGGGACTCTTCCCTCGAAGGAGGTGGGAAAGCACTCGAGAAACTTGCAGAGGTTCACATCTGATGAAACCTGTGAGATTCCTCTGTTATGTGGGACACGGCACAATAGCCGGCACACAGGAAGTGCTCCATAAATGCTCAGTGGAATGTCCACAGGAAGGAATCAAGCCAGATAGCAGGCAAGCCATTTCTTTCTTTCACTTATTTGTAATAGTAACAAGGGTAACGACATGCTTTGGGTTAGGATCGTAGGCCAGGGGTTAGGAGACTCAGGTGGTGATGGCCTGTAATTCCACCCAGGATGGTAGAAATCCTGCAAGCAGCTTTGGTGCTCTGGGCTGTCTGCCCTTCAGGGACATGGAAGGTACAATCTAAGCTTTGTCTCTTGCTGTTTTCCAGAGATGGTGCGAAAGCAAAAGGAGGCAAAAGATGGGGAAATGATTTGGATGCCAAGATGTCATTTGGTTGAATTACTTTTAAGAAGCTGGTAGGCCTCTCAAAGTCACTCCTTTTGGAAGCCAAATTATAAATCCACCTGATCAGAAGCCCAGCCAGGGACGTTCTCTCTGACCCCCGATTCTAATGGCCTATGACTATGCCATTTTTTATTTATTTCACCAGGAATTAAAACATGGCTTTGAAACCATTGTGAATATAGATAACACCTATATTGACATTCATACTCTTCTCCTAAAAGATCAATTAGGAGAAATCTAGCTTTGCTGTTGAATTTTCTTGCTTCTTTACCCATAGCAACTACCCTAAGTGTCAATCTAACACTTGTAAGATTAAGAGACAACACAGTGCCATGGTCAAGGGCTTAGCCTCTGGAACAGACTACCTGGGCCTGAATATGGCTCTTTCACATACTAGCTGTGTGATTTGGGGCAAGTTAACTTGACCTCTCTTTGCCTCTATTCTCTCTGTTGTAAAATGATAATAGTATCAATCACATTAAGGTTGTTAAGGGATTAAATAATTTATGATAAAGTGCTTACATCAGGGCATGGTAAGTACCCAATGAATGTCGGCTGCTGTTATTATTATGGTTCTTTCTGCCTCCTAAGTGTTCCATGGGTTTGCTAATTCCACCCCATTCTCCCATAACCTCATAAAGATAAGGTTTCTGCTTGTGTGTTGTGTCTCTCCCACTGTTTATGAGCGGTGTGGAGCCATTGACACATCAGTTAGCTGCTTTGCTGTTCCTATGAGATAATGGCATAAAAGAATTCACATTTTCCCTGTGGGCTTTAGCTTTTGGCATAGTATCCACAGACGTAAAACTGACTTTGAGCCACGCTCACTCTGTAGGTTGTGCACCTCACGCCGGAAGGCTGTGGACAACTCCCTTAATTTTTGATCAACACAAAAGAAAGCAATGGAATCTCAGAGAGATAAGCTTTTTCTTAGGAACCGCAGAGGAGGCCATGGAGGGCAGGATGGCAGTGAAGAAAGCCCAGAATGTCAATGTCATAAATATTTACCTCGTCAGGAGTTTCCTGTTTCTTTAATCCAGCACACTTCGTAATTATGAGCTCATGGCATCGCTTGTGGACCACGCAAGTGCAAACTGCAAACAGCAAAACATGGAAAGGCTGAGCAACAAGTGGGGGAAGGAAGGTTCCACCCCAAGATTTAATCAGGCTTTGGTGAGGGGATGAGGGCAGCCATGCCCCTTCTGTCACTGGCTCTTAATGTCATGGAAGTCCTTTATGCGGTCATTCCAGAGCCCTTTGTCATCAGAGCCATTACAGTTTCCTAAATGCTCTGGAGAAGAACAAACCATTCGTATCCTAAGGGTATTGGCAGTTTTCTCTAGTTCCAGGAGTTCCAATCAACTTTCTTGCTCCTGTATGCCGAGGCCAGGGAACAATTTCCCTTCCATGAAGCACTGTCTATCAGAGGCATTGCAGCCGTCTTGTGCTCTACGCAGGATCACGCCAGGGCTGGCCGGTGTGGTGAGGGGGACCACAGCAGGACAATGCATGTTTTGTGGCATACAAGCTCTTAAGCTTTTGATCTAGTTATGTCCTTACATGCCAAACAGAAATTTCCATGTAATTTAACTCCTTCCAAGAAGTGGCCTGGAGCTCTGTGTTCAGGGCAGTGTGGGCAGTGAGTGGCTGCCAGTAACTGCTTGCATGCATAGCAATGTCCAAAAGAATCTACCCAAGTTCCCAGGAGTGAAACCCAAGTTAACCTGTGGCTCGGTGAGGAGATGGAATGATCTCCCAGATCAAACCACAGAGAGGCCTCTGCATGAGCACGTCACATACCCACCCTCCAATTCTGGACAACTGAACCTTGCATTTGTAGTCAATTCACTGCAAGCAAACACACTTCAATAATTTCAAGTGAGTTTAAAATGTTTAAGAGCTAATGACCCTAGAGTAGAGACAAAACAAGAGACTTGGTAAGGACTGTCGGTGACACAGCAAAACAAGCAAGTGAGGGAGCTTCTCCAGGGAGCTGGAGAGTCAGGGAGCTGATAGAATACACCGGACCTGGTGCAGTGCCCAGCGGGACCTTCCTGGAGCCTCTGACTTAAGCATGTGTCTCAGTAGGAAAGATGGGAGTGCCACCTACAAACAGCCTAGACCCCTGGGGCACCTGGGGATAGGTGGTTCCTATAAGGTACTCCCACACATACCCTCCCGTATGCGTAGGTGGGAGTCATGGCCAGGCAGGGACAAAGAAAACAGGGTCCTGCTTCTCAAAGAGGGAGCATGAGCACCAGAGCTGCAGAGACTCTAAGTGCCATCGAGTCCGGCTCACACCTCCCGTGTGCACTGTAGCCTCAGTGATCTGGGTGGCCGTGCAGGCCCCCAAGGACTCAGTTCAGGCTGCACCTCTTACCTTGACACTGGTATCCCTGCTTTCCTATGACACCCCTGAAAAGAAGAATACAATCGTTTTAGAAATTTCAGCAGGTCAAAAGCCACACAACGCCACCCCATTCTGGTCACCGCCCACAAGGCACCAAGGACACTGGAGTCTCCCCAGCAGTGTGATTGCTCTCCCCCTTGCAGGCCACCCTAAATCGGCTCCTTCGGGAGGGCAGCCCCAGCGCATGGAAGGAAGGCAAGGCTTGGTTTGCTTTACAAACGGCCACTCGGGCTGGACCAGCTGTGCTCTGGAAGGCCACAAGCACTCTGCTTGCTCTCTGCAGGCCTCAGTCAGTCAAACATGCCCCTCCTCATAGGTGATCACAGTGGGGGCTGCAGCTGGCAGGCACATTCCCTGGATTCCAGAAGCTGCCAGGGATTGTAAGTTAGTCTGTGGCCAGGGCTGGGAGTTCAATGTACCATTAGGGTGAAGGCCAATATTAAAGTTTCCTTCTGTGGCCAAAATAGAATGTCCTGGGGCCAGTTTAAGGTCAGCATAGACACAATCCGAACAACCTGGCCTGAGCCCTGTCCTCAGTACCCCAGTGACAGCTGGTCAGGGAGCCCCCTGAAATTCCAGCCCAGTGGGAGGATCCAGAACTCATTCGGGCCGCCCCTCAGCAAACCTAGAGCTCAGTGGTGTTCACTGTGGACTTAAAGGAGACCTGACTCTTTAGGTCTCAGCTTTCAGAGCCTATTCCCTCCAAACATGCAATTCATGAACAAAATCCAGAAAACGGAGGTCAGGGGATTGAGTCAGCTCCGGGACTGAGACCTGTCTGTGGGTGGGAGCGGGGTGCTATTTCTGCTTCCGCTGGGTTGAGCTGGCCCTGAGCTGTGCCATCTCAGATCTCCATGTAAACCTCAGTACTGGTTCTGGAACACCGCAAGGATAGGACGAGTCACTCCTGGACACCCTGGGAAGCCAGGGGGATCTCAAGAGTATAATTCAAATGTTCTCCGGCTAAGTTCACGCTGCAACTGGGATTCGTTCACTCTTGCCCACTGGATTCAGTTGCATGGGCAAACTCCAGTCAGCTTCAAAGAGCTCAGAGAGGTTGCCAGAAAGGCTGGTGGGATGTCAGGAAAAGCATGAGCTCTGAGTTGCGCTCACTGGGGTGGAAATCTGACACTTCCCAGGTGGAAGACTGCAGGCTAGTCTTGTTTTCATTTCTAAGCCTTGATACTGTTTGTTGTGGAATGAGGGTCATAATACGTAGCTCATAGGAACACGAGCAAGATTTAATTAAATACTTCCAATACCTGAGAGAGAATCTGGCTTGTGGTGGGTATTCATTAAAAGTCCCCTTCTAATCCCCAAGACCAGTGTTCCTAATCCTTTTCTACCACCCAAACAGGCCTACTACTTACCTATCTCTGTCTATCAAAATCCTAATCATCATGGAAAGAGAAATGCCACCTCCTCTGAGAAGCCTTCCCTGAGCTCTCCCACCAACACTGCTCTCTCACTCCTCTGAAAACACAGCATCCTCACAGCACCAGTGTTACAACAGTTACTAAGAACTGCTTTGTATTATCAATATTAGAAATTGACTACTTGTAACTCTGTGATGGAAGAACTCAAATCTATAGGGAGATGGATCCTTATTAACCTGTCACCCAGCTCTAACAATGATCAATACATGGCTGGTCTTGTTTTATCTCTACTCTTAACCTCCCCCACCAAACCTTATTTTTTAAAACAAATCCCAGATTCACATCATTTGTAAATAATTCAGTTTGTCTCTCTAAAAATAAGGATTCCTTTTCAAGAATCCACAATCACAATACCCTTGTTGATTATAAAATCTTAACTCCTTAAATGTGATATATGATATGATCCTAAAAATACAGTCACCAGGAACCAGTTACTTTCCATTTACTTTCCGAAGCACCACACACTCAGTCAACCAGAAAAGTCTTCTGCAATTAAATAAAGAAAAAATAAAGCGCGTCCACACTTTTTACATGAAGTTTCTCATCTCCCAACTTCTTGCCCCGGAGAAAGCATAACTGGAGGTTCCCGGGAAAGAAGGCCTTACCAGATAAAATCTCTGCAGTGGGAGCAGTAGGTAGGCTGCCGAAGGTAGGTGGCCATGAACTTGTGGCCGTTGACCTGATGGACCCTGCGCCTGACGGCCCCCTGCCGCTTCCTGGGCCGCATGCGCTCCCGGAACACGCGCTCTTCATTGTCTTTAGGGGCTGCGGAAGGACAAAAGCAGAAAAGAAAATACAGTCTGGGTTAGCACACCTAGAAAGCGACCTGTGGGAGAGCTACCCCATCCTTGGGTGCCTGGAAGTAGGAGTGGGTATGGGGAGCAGCCTTCACTGGCAGAGGGATTCGGGGGACTGAGGAACCTCGCTGCTCAGCTCCAGAGAGAGACCCTGCAAGTGGGAAGGCCCAGACTGCGGTTTGGACACCAGCTGCGCCCTTAGTTTCCACCCCGATCCCGATGTGGCTCCTTGCATGGCTGCTCCACTCCTCCCACGCCAGCCAGCCATCGTAAGGGTAGAGGGTCAAGAGGCTCAAGGTTCAATCTTACTGCAACTTCTGAGCAGTGGGACTCTGGACAGCCGGTGTTCCCTCGCCCTGAGCCTCTGCAGGCGTCTCCCTCTGTACATGGGGTGGCGATGTCCACCTCAGGGGAGCTGTGGAGTCCACGGTGTGACTTCCCCAGACACCTGGCTCAGAGAAGCGGCTGCCTAATAAATCTGACTCTTCTTCCTCTTGCCTCTTATCTAGACTAGGATGATGAAGAGCCTTCTCCCAAAGGTGAGAAAGAGAGGGAAGTATAACACCATGAAAGCTGATAGTTTCTAAAGGCTGAAGACCCACCACGACAGTAGTCATCTCCCAGTCAGGAAGAGGGCTCTCGCCAGAACCCAGTCATGCTGGCATCTTGATCTCTGACCTCCAGCCTTCAGAACTGGGAGAGAGAAATTTCTCCTGATGAAGCCACCCAATCTGTGGTATTCTATTAACGCAGCCTGAGCTGAGTAACACAGTGACAACACCAGCATTTATCAAAGACTTACTCTGTGGCAAACTATGCTAAGTGCATTACCTGTAGTAACTCACTGAATCTTCGCAATAACCTTACTTGAAGGGTATGCCTATTAACTCCATTTTGCAGGTACACAAACTGAGGAATAGAGAGTTTCAGTGACCTGGTCCTGTTTACACAGCTATTAATGGTGGAGCCCAGATTCTAATTGAGAGAAGAGGGGAGAAGCCACACACTGCTCTAAGGGACAGTCCACTCTCCCTACAGCAAGGCCCGAAGCTCTCATCTGGGTGGCTCTCGTTATGGGAGAGTCTAGCTTCCTGTGGCTTTTCCAAGGGCAGGAGAGAGGCAGGCTCTGGGTGTCCTGCCAGGCTCCTAGTTCAGGCCCTGGAAGGTCGCTTGCATGGCATAGCTTCATATGTGCTGCGGAGGCTCTGTGTCCTCTAGTACCCCTACCCCAGACATCGCATTATAACAGTGTCAAATCCAGGTGAAAGTGCGACCCCCGCCGGGCCTCTTTGAAAATAAGACTCCCCGCCATGGAGAGCACAGGTGTGAGCCAAGCAGCTGTTCCACCCAAGGGCATCTGGTCAGTCCAGAGAGGGCAGGGGGGGAGGGAAAGTAAAACTGAAGAGGGAGAAAGGCAAGAGCAGGCACACATGACCAGTGGGGGCTTTCAGGGGGAAGTGGCCTCCAAGGAAAGAGGAGGGTGGGCACAGGGAGGCTGCCACCTCAGCACGGACCCTGCGGACCCAGATGTGGGTCTGCTCACAGCCGCCGCTTCCCGGGCCCCAGCCTGCCCGCCTTCCCTTTTCAGCTGGTGCTTATGGTTTCAAAAAGTCACTGACACACACTACTTTCTGGGTGTGGAAACCCACCACCTCCCCCACCTGGGGGCTGAGGCCAGCGGACCAAATGCTCACATGCAGACCCCAGCTCTGTTTCAACACAGAGACATCTATACACAGGGGCAAGTGCAGAAATGTGGCAACCACCACTCGGTGGTGCAATCATCGGTGGTTTTCATTTCTACTAAATATTATTTTCACTGTATTTAGAATATTCTACTACTTTTAAAAGCTGGAAAATAAATGGCGTGATTTTTTTAAAAACATGTATTCAGTAGCCCTTCCTTGCTACAAAACGAATCTACAAAAACCAAACCGAGAACTCAGTCCCAGGCAGCTCGGGCCAGAGAATGGGAATTCTCTTTGCAAAAGGCATCCTCCAATTCTTTCACAGAAGGATTCGCCAAGGAACATTTAAACTGTAAGCCAGCCCCCTAATACATTTAAGATGCAAAATAATTTACAAATCCGTCAAATTTCTTGGTCATTTGGATCCTGGAAAACTGTATTTTCAGTTAAAATGGTGATGAGTCCACTCCAGTGTTCCCAAGGGAGCAGAGCTGTGATGGGGGGTGTCCCCGAGGGCCTTCCTTCTCAGTGTCTTACAGAGTCCAAACGCTCTAAACTGGGTTTACATTGATCCAATAGGTAAATGCAGCAACCACTTCATTTAACTCCATTTCTTTTGGAAGCCCTCTTAGAGGAGTGCGCTGAGACCAGGGAGGGGCTTGGGGGCCGGTGAGACAGAGAGGCGAGGATAACTCCTGCTGAACGGGGGTCTCACTGAACTTCCCCAAAGCGTTCTGTTACCTGTGCCCATCTGCACTGCCGTGTAAGTGAGGTTTTACGTCAAAGGTGTGTGAAAACAGAAGGCTACAGGAAAGGAAGAACACAGGAAAGCTTCAGGTTCCCAATGAGGTCCCACGCACCCCACCCCCTGCCGCCCATTCCCCGTGTGTGAAGGAGCAGGACAGGCAACAGGGGAAAAGGGATGGGGCCCCTGGCTGTGAAAACACCCCCAGTACTGCATCCCTCTGCACCAGGGAGCCAAGGGTCTGGACAGAGCATCTCTGCACCCATCAACCCATCCCGCCCCCACCGTCCACCCCCCCACCCCCCCACCCCCTAGGTCACGTGAGGAGGAAAGCCACAGGATTCCTCAGCCTCAGAGAATGGCATTGCTGGAATCTCGAATCATCAATAGAAACTGATCTCTTTAGATTTCCTACTGCTATGAAGGGTCTCTATTAAAATGCAGCTCCTATGAGATAGGGGTAATGCAGTATGCGTGTGCGTGCGTGCGTGCGTGCGTGTGTGTGTGTGAGAGAGAGAGAGAGAGAGAGAGAGAGAGAGAGAGGGAGGGAGAGAATTAGTAGTAGTGTGAATATGACACACTGATTTATAAATGTCTATGTGTGTATAATATGCCAATTAATACACTACATAATTTATATATTATATTAATATATTTTATGATAATATAATTAATTGTATTATATATTATGATAATATTTTAATAAAATTATATTACACTTATAATTTAATTGTTAATAATATAATGTACAATATGATATAAACATACATAATTTTGCTGAACCGTTTGAAAGTTGCAAACACAGTAGCAATTTATCCCTAAATACATCAGCCTTTATCTCCTAAGAACCAAGATACCTCCATAACCACAATATCAGGGTCAAGAAATTTAATATTTATATAACATTATCTGATATATAATTCATATTCAAATTTCTCCAACTGTCCCCAAAACATCCTTTATAGTTGTTTTAAATTTTTTAATTCAGGAGCTAATTAGAGCTCATACACTGCATTTACTTGCCATGTTTCTTTAGTTTCTTTAATCTAGAATACTTTTCTTGACTTTTTTCCTTTTTGTGGTACATTTGTGAAAAGTCTAAGTTGTTGTCTTATGGAACGTTCCCCAATCTGGATTTGTTAATTTTCTTCCAATTAGTTTCCAATTAAGTGGCAGGAATACCAGAGAAGTCTATGTATCAACAAGTTCAAATACACACACACACACACACACACACACACACACAGATAACTGTGTAAATAACATGAACATACTATGTGTAGGAGAAATATAAAATATTCACTTACTGGAAATTTTTAAAATGCAAAGAAGAGCAGTTTTGATATATCACTAATTTACCATTTAATACTTAACAATTTTTAAAAGGAAATTATGTTTATTTTTAATACCACATTTTAAAAAAAATTTAATTTTATTTTTTTCCATTACAATTTAGCCCCCTATACCCTCTCCTCCCAGTAATCACCACACTGTCGTTTATGCCCGAGTCCTTTTGGCTCATCCCCTCTACCCCCGAACCTCCCCTCCCCCCGAGCTGTCATCCTGTTCTCTGTGAGTCTCTCTCTGTTTTCCTTGTTAATTCAGTGTGTTCATTAGATTACACATAGCAGTGAGGTCATATAGTGTTTGTCTTTCTCTGACTGGCATATTTTACTTAGCATAGGACTCCCAGGTCCATCCATACTGTTGCAAAGGGTAAAATTTTCTTCTTTTTTACAGCTGAGTAGTAGTCCATTGAGTAAATGTCCCACAGTTGTTTTATCTGCTCATCTACTGATGGACACTTGGGCTGCTTCCATATCTTGGTGATTGTAGATAACTCTGCAATGAACATAGGAGTGCTTATGTTTTGGGGTTCCTTTAGATATATTCCCAGAAGTGTGGATCACTGGGTCAAAAGGTAGATCTGTTTTTAATTTTTTGAGGTATCTCCACACTGCTTTCCTCAGTGGCTGTACCAGTCTGCATTCCCACCAACAGTGAAAAAGGGTTCCCCCTTCTCCACATCCTCGCCAGCCCTTCATGTTTGTTGATTTATTGACGATAGCCATTCTGACAGGTGTGAGATGATAACTCATTGTGGCTTTAATTTGCATTTCTCTGATGATAAGTGACATTGAGCATCTTTTCATATGTCTGTTGGCCATTTGTACGTCCTCTATGGAGGAGTGTCTATCCAGGTCCTTTGCCCATTTTTTAATTGGTTTTTTTTTGGGTTTTTTTTTTTTTGGTGCTGAGTTCTGTAAGTTCTCTATAAATTTTTGATATTAATCCCTTATCCGATGTATTGGTGAATATGTTCTCCCATTCTGTGGGTTGCCTTTTTATTTTGTTGATAATTTCCTTTGCTGTGCAAAAACTCTTTGATTTGATGTAGTCCCATTTGTTTATTTTTTTTTCTTTTGCTTCCCTTGCTTGGGAAGATATATCCAATAAAATATTACTACCAGCAATATCTGAGATTTTGCTGCCTATGTTTTCTTCCATGATTTTTATGGTTTCAGGTCTAACTTT